AGAGAACGAGAAATATAAGAAGAAACCTAGAAAAGAGGAAGAGACCCGACGCGGGCAAAAGCGCCGGGTCCGCGGGACGTCGTCGAGCGGATCGCACATCCTGCGGATAATCCGCCCGGTCGATCGGCAGCTCGTTATGCATCCGCATAGGTGCATCGCGTGCACCGTCTACATCATCGCATCCTGCCCGCCGACGTGCATCGGGAAACTGGTTCGGCACGTGCAACGGGAAGCTCGGGACGTCCTTCTGCTCTCGAGGTCTATCCTGAAAGTGAACCCGGGAGTCCCTTAGGTCCCGACTGGCCGATTCCCTGCTGAAAGGGCCCAAGAGCCACCGTAGGGAAACCCTCGCCGCGGGGATCCCTCTTTCTCCCGAAAGTCCTCCCGGATACCTCGACGCATCTCCCGGTGCACTTCGACGCCGCGGCGTCGTCACCTGGTTATGCCCGATTATTACGCATATTCCCAAATTTCATTCGAATTCGACATAATAAATTTCATGGGTCTAAGTACACGGTGATACTTCCAGATAGTTTTAATGATCCTTTTATAAAGGCCAGGAAAAATCATCCACCGCCACCGCTATTCATTAGTACCGACTAGATAGAGGCTCGATCGTCCACGAGACCCAAGATCGATAGAGGTCGATAAATCGTGCCGATTACTTAGCCCACCGCGGGCTTTTTCTTCCTTTTGCGGTATCGGAGACGCCGCCAATTGGCTTGGGACTCGGTCGGGACGGCGGTGACGTTCCCACGAAATCGTAACGAGTCGAGAAGACGCGCGAGAAGTCTGGTCACCGGTTCATCGGTCAACTCCACTTGAACCAATTCCGATGACGACGATCGCCGATGACGAATCTCCACGAATCGCTAGTCGAACGGCTCGACTGCGGCGCGTTAACGGCGCAAAGATGGCCCCTCGACGGGCCGAAAAGTGGAAAAGAAAAAAAAAATCGAGCCCATCATCCAAGGACCGTTCGTTCCCTCTCAAAATCGCGAGTCCAACGGCTCGATTGCTGCGCGTTAACGGCGCAAAGATGGCCCCTCTACGGGCCGAAAAGTAGAAAATAAAAAAAAAAATCGAGCCCATCATCCAAGGACCGTTCGTTCCCTCTGAAGATTCTCGGCGATCGAGGGGCTATTAGATGAATCGGTAACGTCGCCGCCAATCATTCCGACTCTCATCGGTAAACGGGCACAATCGATTGCGGATCTACCCCCTTCGCAGCGAGCGGAGTCGCAGGGCCCGGCACGTGTCGCTCCCTCGGATTTCCATATCCGGAGGATAAAGGGCCAATTTCGGGCCCATTAGAGCCTCGGCCGTCGTCGGGGGATTCGGAAGTGTAATCCCGTGGCGCAATTGCGGCCTGTCACCTCCTAGACGGGGAACGGTCATCGTGACTTATATCACGGACGGACTTTAGCATGAGGACTGCCCGGCAATTGAGCCATCTATCCCGTGGCGTATAGCCATGGCAATCACGGGCCCGGCATCCACCTATCTCCCCGTCTCTCTCGGCACCTCTCGAGTCGGCTTCGTCTTGGCCTTCGGCACCTCGAGACCCTCTCCGAGAGCTTCCCCGTCTTGACCCCGAAAAGTACACCCCTTCCTCAATTTACGCGACCGTCTTTTCACGCGGTACATTATAACGCAATTCACGTTCATTCATTACCTTGCATCTTTCTTAAGCTATCTGAAGTAAGTATGCATTTCGAAAATTTACATGTACCAGCTATTACCTCCAACAATTTTCCTTTCTACCGAGAGACTTTATTTACGGGACTTTCAATCGCGTGAAACGGGTATACTCCGCGTAAATCGAGTTACAGGTGTGTAATCGCACTCAGGAGTCTGAATCATTTTTTTTTACAGATTTTACAGGTTTTACAAATTTTGCAGATTTTACATTTTTACGTTAAAAAGAAAAAAGGGGAGAAAGTGGAATTAAATACCCGCGTTAGAATCCTCAGCACCTGGATTTTCGCCCTTTCACCCGGGAATGAGAAAATGCCCGAAGACGAGGGATACCTCGTCTCAGAAAACCGCGGAATGTCCGCCCTCCACCGGCAGAGGTTCCGGGCTTGGATTCGGTTCTCCACGGTTGGCCGACCACCGCTCCTTCGAGCCTTTCTTCGACGAGGAGAGAGAGAGAGAGAGAAAGAGCGAGGAAGCCGGGGAAAAACGGAGTAAGAAGGGCAACGTTATTTACAATCACCGAGACGGGAGCAAGGCCCGAGCCGTGCCTCCGAAAAATACTCGCGGCTCGATCTAACCCACCCGTCCTGGTATTTATCGGTCGCAATCGATGACTCACGCGAGCGGATATAGCCCCGATTAGAGTAATAGCTAATCAAACAACCGACGAAAGTATATATCACCATCCCGCGGGAATTTCCTGAACCCCGATTTCCCAATGTCCAAAAATGGGCATTTCCGGATTTTCATTAAAAATCCTGCATTTTTTTCCCCCCATATTTTATTTCTTATCAATGACGGTGTTTACATTACCGCGCGAACCTCGCCTCGCAAGAAAGGGATTCGATCCGGTCCTAATAAAGGACGAGGGCCGACGGAGTTCGACAGCCTTATAAGAAGCACCGGTCAAGGGGGTCCGAGGGCACGCTCGGCTCGCCGGGAGTTCCTAACCTCACTTCTCGAGGCGCCGGCCGGAATTCCTCGTCGAGCTCCGGGCGAAGCGATCTTATTAGGGCCTAATTAAGCGTTCAACGAGATATATTTAACCCGTGGTGCGTGGCGAAACGCTACGCCGCGGTTTCCAGGACGAAAATAAACGATGTCACACCTCGGGGCCCTCCTTCCGAGACGTCGCGAGTCGTATCTCGGAGGCTCGCGATAACGGGCGCGTACCGGCGCGTCTTGCGCCCGCTAGTCGGACATACCTCGCGGACCGTGCGCGGCAATCGGCGCGATGACGCAATCCCAGAATCCCAAGAATGATAAACCGGGATATTTCCACCCCGTGTAAAACCAAATCCCGCCAGCGATTCCACCTGTTGACCACCTGTAGCTCGGGGTTTAAAGGGCGACCCTGGTGCACTTACGCGTTCCTCGAGTTCGAGCGAATCCGCGCGTCCCGATTGGTCGAGCGCGGTCACGTGACCCGCCGCCGGCCGCCATCTTGGTTTTTGGCTTCGCGAGTTTGGTAAGTAATTACAACCCGGGGGGAATTTAAGATCGACAGCGCGAGGGAGATGGCTTAAAGAGCGAGAGGGAATTAAAATCCCCTCGGATTTTAGCTCCTTCGTGGAGTGGGTGATCGCTTTCCTGGGGCAACAGGTGGCGGGAGTCGCGGGGTGAAATTCGAATTTGCCGCGCGGTGGACGTTAGGATTTTTTATAGGCTAACCTCTCTCCTCGGTGACGTCGGCTGCCGCCAGGTTGGACAGGACCACCAGGAGCAGCAGGCTGCGCGTCCCTAGGAGGCCCATTTTTCTCCGGAAGGGGACCTACCTCACCACTCGGGCATTATCCACCGGCACCGCACACCTTACGCGGGGACGCACTTCGCACTGCGCACCGACTCGTGCGCGGTTGCCGATTCTAAGGCGACGCGCAACCGACTCGGGATGACCGACGCGACTTAGATCGAGCCGGGGCGATCGAGGAGGCGCCGCGACGCGCGGCGGATGCTCACCCGCATGGCAAGGACGCCTCGACCCGAGGGCGGCAACTCCGGCGCGGCCGAGAGGGTACCGACGCGAGAGAGGCGAGCGGATCGGCTACGGACGGGATCGGCGAGGGCGAGCGCCACCTCCTACTCCCACGCCAGCCGAGCGACGAATGCGCGCGCCCCGTTCGACGCCGGCCGCACTTGAGCGAGCCGCCGTCGAGTGGCGCTGCCGGCGAGCCGGAGAGAGGGGGAAACGCGCCGCCCCGATCGGGATTTTCAATTAATCGCCGAAATTCGTTTTAATATATTATAAGTTTGATACGTCATGTGAATAAAATTGAAAATATTACGCACCTGCTTTTCTACGTTATATTACAACGTAGTTTCCTACCCGAGCGCGAAGTATTTTATTATTCCATAGGAATATTTACGTGTTTACGTATGTGCTGAAAGACGTGTATAAAGTAGCGAATGCTTTTCGATCAACTGTCGTTGCAAATCGGCATTTCAGTCGAATTAGGCGGTAGAAAGAGAGGTTTGACCGACGCGTAAATATGCAGATGCGTAAATATGCCCTCCCGGCGTTCCCAGAGTTCCCACGTGGGATCCGGGATCCGCAGCCGGCGAGTCCCGGGTTTTTGCCCGAGGAAGCCAAATGTGCTCTGTTTGCTTTCGTACTCCTTTACGACGCCGAAACGACGCCCTGACACTCCGAGACTCCGGTAACCCAGGATTGCGAGCACCCTTCCCTCGGGAACCATGCCTGGCGACGAGGACTTTTCGGTATTAACGCCAATGTGTTATTATAGCTCCGCAAAGCAGTTCGATTTACGACTACACGAGTGGTGGACGGAGCCGATTTCGGGACCAAAACAATAACAAGAGCCGGAACGGTTTCAAATATCCGGGGGACTCGGAAGAGCAATTAACACGTTGGATACTAAGAGCGCCTAAAGGCGCCCGACGTTTGGTCCAAAATTGCGTGCACGGTCAGACGAATTTCGCCCGTATGTCGAAATGGCTCCGTCTTCAAAGGGTCAAGCTGGGACGTGGCGACATCCCGCAAAGATGTCCGGATAATTTCATTCATTCTTCCGAAATAAGTCGCAGAATGCCGATTATTAATTTTTTTCTCCCGAAATTTGCACCCTTGTACGAACCACCGAGAGGATTCGGCTTTCAGGGCCCCGTTCTGGAGTTCATAAGATTAACTTTCCCATGCAGAAATGATAATTTCGTGTGCGATTTCCAAGCGTTTATCAATTACGCGACTTCGGAACAATGGAAAATTTGCCATTAGAGAGAAATTCGTATGAACTCGAGTGCAGAGGAGGATAGGGCGGAATGGGGGAAGAAATATCGGTGCGTCCTTTTCTAGAGTCATTTATTATAAATAACAAGGTGTATATCATGTGCACGTGTCGTTTAACTTACAGTCAAGCTCCATCTAAGTTATTCGCTCTTAGGATTAATCAATTCGTTATATACCAGTTTCGCTACGATCTAGTCGTGTTTTCCCGGTCGCCGTCGCGGCGACGTCGACGGCGGAGTCGTCGCGTGACGGTGAGCCCGACGGCCGTCGCCCTCGCGATTTTCACCTGTAAAAATCGGCATATCCGGACTCGCTCCCTCAATCCCGCGAAAGTGCACCCCGACGAAAGCTGCTCCCTCTCCGCGTCCGGTCCGGACGCGGAAATCGCCGGCGATCGTTCGGCCGAAGCCGAATGGTCTCCTCGAGACCGACCTTGGCGGCAAAAAGCCACGCGAGATATGCACGAAAGAGAAAAAGTCAAAGGACGCTTAGAAAACTAAAGCGATACACTTTAAGCTACGTACGTATGTAGCAGGCACGTCTTATCATATCACGCTATAGGCTCCTTGAAAACCCGGTCGATGCCATACCCTACCGGACCATTTTCGTAACTTCTACCTACCTACCTATCTACCAGCTCTCCCTAATCTAGTCTCCCTGCAGTACCGACCGAAACGAGGGAAGGGTGCGGACGGTGCTCGAGCGCGAACAAGCCGTCAGGGAGGGGAACTCTGGAAATCTACCCGTAGCTATTTGGGCTAGTTTAAAAAGTACCGTCGAGTAACGCCCGATATTACTTCGCTCTAAAAAACTCCGCCGATCAGTAAAAGCGTTAATGACACCCGCCACGGAATGACGGAGAAGACGTACACCCTGATGGAAATTTCTCCCGCGGTCGAATTACGGTGCGATGGCGATGGATATGATAAAAATTGTCGACGCCGTTAATCAGTGATAGGGGTAAGGACGCGGTTCGTTGGCTCGCTGGTTCGTTGTGCACGTTAGACGACGGTAGCTGGGAACTCGGGGGTAGTTTCCTAGACGTCCTTCGAGGATATCTCTAGGAGATCCCTCCCTCGGATGACTCCCTACTATCCAGGGGGTAGTTTCCTCTCAGCGGGGTCTCACGCTTCCGACACCCTTCCGAGCACCATGGTCCTTATCGCAACCCGCGACGTTGCTCGTCGACAGTGTGTACGAACACGAAAAGCAGTGTCGTGCGTGCTGCGCGTGTCTAATCGCAAGCTTCTACGGGATATCGTAACTCCTCGGTCGATTCGTCGATCGATCCTCGCCCCGAGCCCTAATGACTGCAGGAAAGAGACCCGCTCCTCGAATTATCGCCGATCGGACGTCATTCAGGGGTCGGGCCGAAAATCGACGCGTCGACGAGATATCGCTTCCTAATCCGACGAGTCGATGCCAACATCCAATCGCGACGAGGTCCGCCACGTCAGGTTAAAATAAAGTTGAGTCGTTGTTTCGGGCCCCGGATTCTGGGCCCTATTTTCCTGCGGAACGGGCCCCCCCTTCTTTCGGTAAAAATCGCGACGATAGAAACTCTCGGCAGGACTTCGGCCGCTTAACAAACCACGGCCTCTGATATGGGATTCTCGGTGATGTGTATGGTGGCTCCGGGCCAGTCGATTCTCTTGGCGCAGATGTGGTTCAGGCCCTCCAGGGACGCCAACCTGTAGTCCGCCATCTTCAACGGCGAGAGGGGTGCCACTGAAACGAGAGGGAATATTCGTGAGTCCCGCCGACCGGCGACTACGCCGACAGGCTAAACGAATTCCAATTTTTTTTCCCAATTTTCTTCCTTCCCTTGAGAATGTTTTTTTTTCCATTTCCTTTTATTTCCCTTTTTTATTTACTCTTCCCTCGCCACGCGCGCGGCCCCGGCAACGAAAGACAAGCGACATGCAAATTAAACACAGAAATTACGTGTGTGTGATCTGTTGTGTGCGTATATATTATATAGATATGCAGCAAGGCACTGTGAGCCGCACTTACTACTCTCTACCTGGTGCAATAAACTTTAGATATTTTTCAAAGAGGTCCTACCACGGTCAAGAGCCGCTATAACAAAAATGGTCATGGTCTAGAAAACAACGTTCTCCCGTTTTCTCTCTCCCCTTCGTACAATGAAGAAATAAATAAATATTTAGATATATATGTGGATCGTATAGCGGATATTCGCGAGTCGGTCGAGTGCATCGCTCCAGCCTCCTTGATAACGTTTACGCGGTTCTCCAGCCAGTTTTGGAAATTTTACTGCCGCCTTTTTTTTGTTTTTTAGCAACAAGGAGTTCGTCGCAAGCTCGACGACGGCGACGACATTCGGAAAGTTTCTTTGGAAATTCCGTCGGGCTCCCAAAATCGTCAGCTCGTGGTTCTGACGCATCCGCTCTTCTTTAGAAACAATTCCAAGGACTCCTCTCTGGGCTCCGGACCAATCGTTCACTATTCATGACTCCGGTATTCAATATTCATTGCTCTCCTCGGTGGATAGCTCGAGAATTCCGAGCTCCGTTAATCGCTTTTCTTGCGACTTATGCACCGATTACGCATGCGACCGTCACCTCCCGATAGCGGAATTAAGAGGATCGAGGTCGACCCGGAAAGGTAGACCAGATAGACAGGGGACCGTGTCGAGGAAAAAGAGTGCGAGGAGTGAATATCCAGATAAACTTTGAAATCGATCAGCCAGTCTTTCATGTAATTAGAATATCGGCACTCTTTCTCCTCGGCATGGAGTAGCACCCGGAAAGACATGCAGAGTACTCCTCACCGTCCTAGAGAAGTACGATTAGTATAGTTAGGCAAATGATAGCCGATATATACCCTGCTTATACGTAATGGCCGTTCGTTAGTCACCGATATTTCCCCGGTAAAAATTATAATGCCGACTTACTGAACACTTAGACGGGGCCTAATCGACCGACAGCGCGCTCGACTCCCTGAGGCTTCAATTCCTAATTACAATTACCTTCGGGTGTTGTTGGCGTGACGGGCTTCCGCGTGGATCTCACCACTAAAACGTATAAAAAAGCAGATTCTTTAAAATCGCTGGAAGTTCGAGCAGGCTCGAGGGTCTACGCGTTTAAAGCGCCTCTCCTTAGGTCGATCCGATTTTCTCCTCCGCACGGCGAACAACGAGTCGCTGTCGCGACTTCACGATCAAGAAATGTACCCCCTAGTGCCATTGCGTGTCATTTTTCTACACGGCGTTACACCGAGGAAGCGCGTCTCTTTGCAATAATGGTTAAAAGCGTAGAAAAAAAAAAAAAAGTCCTGGGACATCCAAGGGTGCACTCTTCGCCGTGAAATAACGACCCCATTGGCGGACTCGATTCTTCCCCGTGCACACACTCGCTCTTAAAAAAAAAACGGCACTCGCCCTTAAGGAGCCAAGTACTCGAACAACGATCCATTAACGATATACTCATGCTCTCGCTCTCTTTCTCTCGCGGTTAGCTGCAGTAGCCAATAAGCCGAAGGTAAGAGGAAAAAAAAGAAACGATCAAACGACACTTCTACGGACTTTGCATTGATCATTAAGACGTATACGTACCACTCGAACGATCCGAGACGCGTGGGAAATAAAGGCGCAAATCGGTGAACAAGAACTTACATCTCTCGTTTAATATAGCTTTAGAACTTATCCCTCCGCTAACCGGAAGAGACACTGGTAATGAGCTCGGTCGGTGGTGAGGTTTTTTTTTTTTAAATTTCTGTTTATTAGTCAAGAGACGTCTCGCGCTCGATACATGATCGCCCAGGGTCGGGGGTGGATCTCGAGGTGGATCCTCGTTTGGGGATTTTTAATTCTTTTTTTTTTATATTTCATTTCATTCATAACCCCCCAAGCCGAGATCCAACCCCGAGGGAGAAACGCGCAGCCTCTGGTACAGGGTCCAGACTCGACCGAACGTCGACGAGAGTGAGAGAGGTATAGGAACCGAGACTCGAAAATTGGCACGGGGACGAGGACGGCGATAAATGATAAGTACTATCTCTTCAGTGGTTTCGGGGGGTCGCGATCCAACGGGAGCCTAGGAGGACCTCGAGGAGCCTTGCAGGACCTCGAAGAGCCTCGAAGAGACGCGCGAACTCAAGTAACGAAGCTTTTGTGTACTGTGATTGGTGCTGGGTGTGTTTCTGTGACCAAAAAGCCAAACGCAAGAAGGAAGGGCGTTCCTCTAAACTCCCACCGGGCGCATATCTCGCGGGCTCGATTAATCACAATATTTTCTCTCCTTTAATTAATATTCGATGCCGAGCGATCTCCCCTCTAGCCGAGACCGGGTAAAAAGCGAGCGCTGCCGCAGATCCAAGCGAGGGCGTCGCGACGCATGCGGGCTGCGCCGGATGTCGAGGTTTCGCCGCGGCTCGGCCGGCGAAAAACGAGGCTTAGCTCTGGGATTAACTCGTTACTCTATTATCTATACGCCTTAGGCCAATACGGTGCCAACGAATAAACATTCAAGCAAACTTAACGCTAAATCCGAGGGGACTCTCGCCCTAGCGAGTCCTCGCTCGCGGAACACTGCGCGACCCCTTCCTTGATGTAGTATAATACAATCTTTACCTTTTTCCCGCCGCGTTCCATTTTTCGCAACGCGTAATGCCCCTGAGGCGAGGGAAAAAAAAATGAGGAAAAAATAATTCCCGTCGTGCATGCGCCGGTTTTCCGCCGATCGGGCCGAGGGGTGCGCAGCCCCCCCGCGAGGAGCGTCTCCGCGTCGAGGTGCATCCGCGGTGCATCCGCGTCGGTGTCGGTGGAGATCGATGGTAGAGGTAACTTTGTAATCGGTCGAGAGCAAGGTTTCTTTACGGCGGGGTTCACTTACCATATCCTTCACCCTGGAGGAACAGTCGGAAGGCCTCGCTCACTTTTCCCGGCTGCTCTTCCAGCACCATGCCGCAATCGGAGATCTGAAATTCAATCGGGGGAATTATTAGCACCCTCTGGAATGAGCCTCGATGACCGGGGACCTACAGGTGGCATCGTCGAAAAACCCTAAAAAATAAATGGAACGCGATCCCTCTCTCTAGTTATCTCGAGAAGGTGATTCCGGCCTCGTGGATTAAGGTGGCGTGAAAGTGCCGTCAGAATTCTCGTTCGCGACACTTTTCTCCAACCTGAGTGGACCGAATGGATGTTCACGTTGTAAAGTGCGAAACAATTCAGCGTACTTAGTTCGGAGAGAAGTTTCATGAACGATTGACTCTTCGGATGGCACTTTTACACCCCCTTAATGGGTGCAGGGCACTTCTGCAAGGGTGTACCTTCATCCAGGAGCTGTTGGTGGGGTCCAGTCTCCCGTTTAACGTGACAGTGTCCTCGACGTGGGGACTCAAGGCCCCGGTGATGTTCATCACGGGTACCCCTAACGTTAACCCTTCCCTCTTGCGCGTTGGGTCCAGCTCTCTCGTGATGTTGAGGTCGGTTCGCCGGACGTAGCTGTCGATGAAGAGAGCCAAGTTCGTCGGGTTCACCCGACGCTCGAAGTAGTTCTTGTACACCTGGACCAGGTCGTGGTTCCTCTCCTCGGTACCCTGGGAACGGTGGAAGAAATTAACAAAAACGGTTTAAAGGGCCCGCCGACCACCCATTCGAGGGTGGGCCTAGCCCAACCACGCTTAACTCGGTACCGGGAACTCGGACGAAAGGGGCATTTAGTAATTTTTAATTTCGAATTCCAGAGTCCTGGAGTCTAATTTCTAATTTGAGCCAATCTTGGGGACCCACCCCCCGATCTAGGGACGGTTCGCTTATAAGAGTGCCCTCGTAACCCGAGGCTGCTCATGGAGGGCTAACCTCGTTAAGAGACACGCGTTGCGTAAGAAGCGCCGACTCGCTTTGGAATTGCCGCTGACGCTTTAATCCAATTGTCCAGCTTGCGAGAGGCACTCGCGAGGAAAGCCTTTGGAGCTTCGGCGAAGCGCGAGACTCGTGTCGGTAATCGAACCTCCCCTAAGCGTCCTCTTGGAAGTGAGTTCGGACTTCATCCCCTGTCTTTGCGGGTCGAAAGCGAGAGGGTACCCGGAATAAAAATAGGTTACCAACCCATTTACGATTAGAGCCCGGCAAGCGTTATCAAAATAATCCTGGAAGCCTCGCGTCGAATTTCACCGCCACTCGAATTTTTACTCGATTCTTTAATTTAACAGGATATTTCTTCGGTACCATTCAAAGAAATATTTCTCTGGTTGGGAAGTTGGACGATGTTAAAAAACGTGATATTAAGAAATTCGGCAGTTCCGCGCCAAACGTTTGTCTAATTCTACGGTCAACCGAATGAATCCCTTACCCTGCCGAAGTGGTGCCACATGAGGTAGTCCAGCACCCCCTGCGTCATCCCCTGGGACCGAAGATGGCGAACGTTCAGCTTCTGGTATCCCCACTCGATCCATCCAGCTTGCGTCGAGACGCAGTTAATCAGGCACAGGGCGTTCACCTTCTCGGGATGGGCCAGGGCGAATCTCGCGAGGATGTTGGCCCCGGCGCCGACCCCGAACCCGATTACCGACGTCAACCCAAAATGACCCAGGACGAAGAGCAGCTGCTCCGAGAGCTCGTCCATGGACGGATACACGTAACTGTGGAGGACCAAAGGAATTAGTATCTCTCGTCGGCATCGTCTGCAGCCTCGACGCCTCCGTCCCCCTTGCGTCGGTGCACCTACGTGCAAGGAAAAGGGCTATCAGGCCTTCCTCGAAGGGAACCACCGGCACCAGGAGTCGGACACGCGAATGCGGCCTGCTGGGAACCTCGCATGTTAATTCGCAATGCGGCCTGAATTATTCCATAACTCGCGGTTAGGTGTACGTAGAACTGCCGTTCCGAGTCGAGGTCAACTCGATCGGACGATCGTCGTGTTCCTCCAATTTGTCGGCTCATTAATCGAGGAACGAGAGCACCGAGGGCCTCCGTTAGAACGAAGGAGAGCCTTGATACCGCGACTAGATTGCCGGTGTTTGATCTTCTATCAGGACGCGATAAAACTATTCTACGTCACCACAGGGGGACCTTATCATCTAACTCGCGAATCTCATATCCTCACGGCGTAGCCGTGACGAGGGTCATTGCAATCATTTTTAACGAGTGCACGTGGCCGGGATGCACGCGACGTCGAACCTCGGATGTCGCTGCACTCGGGGCGATGCATTTGGTACACTTGGTCCCCTGCATGCTGGATTTACGCGCTGGTCTAATTAGCGAGCTCATTAATACTGTCTAGTCTCACTCCAGTCAAAAGCTGCGGCTTTCGAGAGAGAGAGATGGAGGACCCTCGATCCAGGGAGGGGCATTTTTTACGGATTTGTTTCGTGACTTTTTTCGAAAATCTGTACTCACTCTTCCGGTAACGTCGGCGCGTTCTCCTCTTGACCGGGCGCGTTCACGTGGTACACGCAAAAGTTCTCCAGGAGGACGCGCATGTCGATGTAATTGAAGAACGCTTGGAAACTCGATACATCTGCAACGAAGAGACGGTCCAGCGGCTCGAAATATATATCTCGCGGGGGATTTTTCCTTCGTTTCTTTTCCTACCACTTCCACGTGACTTTCGAGGCCGTTAAGGCGTTACGAAAGGGTCGTTCTATATATATATCAAAGCGTGAAAATATTTATGAAACTTCTACAAACTGGGTGCGCCGGATAATCTGAAACTTCAACACCTGATGATGAGGACCCTAATTAAAGTCTTGGATCTCAGGATATTTCATTTTTCAGTAAAAATTTTTATGACTGTTTCATAACACCTCAAGGCGACGTGAAAGTGGCGTCGAAGAGGTCTCGTTTATGAAACATTTCATCGAGCTGGGTGTACCGAATCGTTTCAGACTTTACGACGTGAACGTAGAGGCTGCGAGGAAGGTCCCGCCACCCATGAAATTTCAATTTTATTTTTTCATATTTCCTGAGAAAATGAAATTTCATGGGTGGAGGGACCTTTCTTATGCCTCTGTATTCGGGTTGCAAAGTCTGAAAGCTTAAATTAGGGAGGGGGGTACTCACAGTTAAGGCCTAAGTCGTGATAGGTGAGAATGGCAGGTCTTGCGCGATTTCCTTGCCGAGCGACCAGCAGGCTTCCCTTGTCGGTCTCGACCCTCTCCTCCCGAACGGATCCGTCATCTCTCGTCAGATATCGCAGAGCCGGGAACTGCAGCTGGATGTTCTTCAGCTCGATGTCGTCCATGCTGTCCGAAGGCATCGTGCTGGAGAAAAAGGAGACCCGTCAGTCGAATTTTTCCCCCCGCAGCCCCGATTCGGACTCTCCTCCGACCCAGCGAAACTGGGCCGAACATCCGACGAACGAAGTTCGAGTCGAAATTCCCTTCGGAATATTGGATTCGTCATTCGTTCCTCCGAATGTTGGCAAATGGAAGGGTGGTCCGCTGATTTCACGGGTCCTGGGGTGGATGGATATATTCGGGGAATTTATTTCCAGCTCCTTCACACCCCACGGTCGTAATCTTTTCCTGCCCCCGTTTCCCAGTTTACGAGAGGTTACCCCCGATTCGAGCGGCGTCCGTTTCGTTTCGCCTTCGGTATATGTGCCAATAAAGTATGCAGAGCGCAAACGACTCCGTGTTACATGACAAAGAGCAACGCACGGTCGTAAAGTTTACGGAAGTCGTCCTCCCTTTCTGTCCTTTCCCGCGAGAAGTGAAAAGGGAGCCCCGGGCTCGCCGAAGCGCCCGGCTGAAAGAAGTCCCGGGGAGACGGGAAATCCCGAAGGCGCGACTCCTAAAGGATCCCTCGCTTGTTAGGAATGCCAACAACCGGCTGAACGGCCAACAGTCGAGTCGCCTGGAGCTGTCCGAAGCCAATGAACCGAAAGACAGAAAACTGGGCCACCCTCCAGAATCCCTGGGAACCCTTTTCCGAGCTCCGCGAAAGGAGTCGTCGTTGGCCCTCCCCTTAGATTTCAGATTTTCTCCCTTTTATTTTCCCATCGTCAAGCCCTCTTTCTCCAATAAATTTTCACCCACGAATTTCCTCCACTGACCTCGAGGACGAGTAATGGGAATTTCAATTCCTTGGAAAGGGTTAAAATAAGCCCGGCCCGAGTACTCCAGGTCTTACCTCCCCGCGAATGGGATTTATTCCGCTACTTTTGAAGTATTTAGTATGACAATTCCCGAATCCGGTGAGCCGCTTAAATGATTACGAAGGGGTTGGTCCATTTTATGGTCCATTTGGGGGGGTTCTGATTTTTTTCCCCGATTTTTTCTTCCGGGGCCCGGGCGCTGCGCCGATCTTGACCTTTCCCCAGGGCCCTCCCAACGATTAATTCTTCAGCAGGAGAAGATATCGGCAAACTGTCGAACGAAGTTTACAATATCCACCTCGATTTGGACGGACTCCAAGCCGCCTGGCGTCGCTGATAACCCACCGTGCCGACCCACCCTCCGCGAGTAAATCGAGTCCCTTCATTGCGAATCGAGCGATGGGACAAAATAATGGAATCCTGAGAGGATCTCCGTTTAAAGCTCGATAAAACGCCTGCCATCTCCCTCGATATCCTGGATTCTCTCCGGTCGTGGGTGCGGAGGTGCAAAAAGGGCTGCGAAAGGGCTGCAAAAAGTGCACCGGCAATTCCGTCGGACGGCTCGGCCATTAATCGATCAATTAACCTCGGTACAAGCTGCACAATGGAGTTATTTCCCGGGTAGATCGTATCAGTGGGCGGGACGATATCTCATTTTTGTCAAAATGTACTCTCGACGATACCGTCCCTACTCTATCATCGATTAGTACGAGTTTAGAGGAGGTCATCGCCAAACTAGTCGTCGGTGCATCGCGTGCACTTAGACCCCGACGTGTACAAGTTTCCGTAGATTTCTGCGATATCGATTTCGAGGCCGCGTCCAGGGATTAAATTCTGGATATGAACTTTGGAAACCAAAAGGGTGGATTTGGAAAAAATTCTAGGTTGCAGGATATGTCAACGTTGGAATCGATATGTCATTTGGCATCGATTTGGAGGAGGTGACAGGTGGATTGGGGAAGGACAGGAAGGGATGAATCTCCAGGGCCGAAGGTAGGCCGCGAGACCACGTGCCCTTTACGGCCCCTTCAAGTTCTATCGGGAAATCATAAAAGAATATCCTCGAAGGATCGATTCTGCGTAAGGTCGCAGCCACGGTTGACCTCGTAACACTTCTGGAAACCAGCTAGAAACCGCCTGGAGTCCCGAGGTGCACTCCAGGTCCTTCTAGGTCGAGCTATTAGGGAATCTATAAATTCCCAGCGCCCCAGGCTCGCGGGAAAAAATGCCTCACTTTGTCGTTTTTAACTTGCTAAAATAGGAAAACAATGAATTTGAGAAAGATCTACTCGGATAGCAAGTTAGGTTATCGATTCCGAAACCACCCTCGGCCGAGTCGACGGAAATTAGGTCGAGAGCCAATCCCGGGAGTGACACGTCGCGACCGCGTGGGTTTGACGTTTGCCGACCACGTGGTCGGTCGGAGCGTCGCAAAAGCAGATCCGCTTAGGGGTTGATCTCGCGAAAGGACGGCGTCGCGGCGACCTCGTCACGTGTTTCAGTGACGGCGACGTCGAAACGAGCCAGTCGACGGGATCGATGCGTATTTTTAGTCCCCTCTGGAAGGAGGGGGCCAAGTGGCGCCGACTCTCGACCGAGCTTAACGGGTCCGCGTAATTAAGCCGATCGAAGGCGTTGCGAAACGTGCGACGGAAAGATTTAATCTCTCCCTCCATTTCCGGAATTAAACGTCGAACCTGCGGAACGACCGACCGCGCCCCTCTTCGAGGAGCTAAGACTAAACGACTGCACTCGTTGCTGCACCGAGACAAAAAAAAAAAGAAATTCACTGAACCAAAGAAATATTTTGCCAATCCAATTAAGTTGTCACAAATCCGAAGAAACGTTGCATCCAATTTATTGGAATTTACTAGAGTCGGATATAATTATTCCTTGAATTAACAAAATATTTCCCTCGTTCAATGACATTTCTTCTTTTTTCTCAGTGTATTCGAACACGCGATCGTAGCTCATTGTTCCGTGGAATTAAATCGATCCTGGCACTATTTTACATTTCTTTCTTTTTCCTTTTCAGTAATGGAATCATCGAAGACGTCGCAGTCAATGGCGGAGGACGGCTCATTAGGTTGCCGAGCACACTCGAGCGTACGGCGATCGGCTTCCGTATCTCCGGCACGTCACTCGGCCACTTCCGGTCCACTCGCGACCGGACGTAGGAGACTTCACCCTACTTGCGATATCACGAAGCCGGATAAGCACCGGCGTAAAGTATAATTCCCGCCCAAGGCCTCGTTCCCGACTGGCCGAGCCGGAGTCGCCTCGACTAATCAGGGGTTTTTCACGAAAGGGCAGCGCCGTGAATAAAAAGAAGAAGAGAAAAAAAAAGGGAAAACCGAGGAGGAGGAAAGGAAATAGGGTAATGGGTTGCAAAGTCGGGCGTTAGTTGCCCCTTTGCCGGGAGGAAAAATTCCCGCTGACCGGAAGCGAAGGGGCAGGGTTGGTCGCCGGGAAAATGGGACATGGCGACGAGGGACCCTCGAATCGGGCCAATTCATTTAACGCACGGACTAAATCGGCCGTATCCATCGGGGGTATATCGGGGTCATGCGAATGATCAGGTACGCCGTAACGACATACACGAGCAGTCATAAAGGAGCCTTTCCCCCCGTTAGGGTGCCGTAAAACGGCGCTTTGAAGCCGAGGTAAAAAGAGTCGCGCCCTTGCGGTCGCACCTAGGAACCGCAGGGCACCACTCGATACCTCGATACTCTCGATACTCGATCCGATCGGCTTTCGTCGATCGACGAAGAGGCCCCCTCTCGAGATTTCCCTCCTCCGCGGGTTTCTTTTTTGCAAAGGTTCGCAATTCCCTCCCACAGGACGTCGAGAGAAACTCCCGGCCGCTCCTCGCGATTGTAGAAACGCCGCCTTATGATGAGGATCGCCTTAACGAATTGCCCAAGACAATTATCGCATTGCCCTAGTCGAATTGCGAAATAGGCGCCGAGCGCGAATCGCGTCCCTCGGGCCGCGTTCTGCGTCCAGTCTCGATAATGCCTCCTAATTACGCTTAATTTCCACGGTAAACGTCGCGCGGTGCGACGCGGAGTGCCCTAGTAGGCCTGACAAAGACCCGAGACGCGGTTGCACAATGCCGGAATTGGAAAATTTCCATTTCCCTAGTCGCCTACTAGTGAACTAGGCTTCCAACAAAGAGCTACGTCTTCGCTCGGGGCCTTGACTTAAAGTTTTCCATTTTCCCGAGCAAACATATCGGGTACCACGAGCTCGGGATTACCCTCGACGATGTTTCCCTAACGATTAAATTTCGGGAGGTAATTCAATAGCGAGTTTGCCATTCCCCTTGTTAGTTACAAATTCAAATGTATGTAGATGCGTGTGTATATATACGGGGGAAGGGAGTTCCCTTCTTGGCTCCGCTTAGTCATGGCCCGAGCGAAGATCAAAAGTCTTTCTCTTCTATCTTGACAACGCGGATGACGCGTTATCGCGCCCACGTAGTACTCGTTACACGAGATTAAACCCCGGAAATGCTATCGAGCTCACGGTGTCACCAATTGCGGGCTGGTCGACCTCTTTAGGGCCGCCATCCCTCGAAGAGGATCCAAGCTAATTAGGCGATCGATCGTATCAATTCGACCCGTGGATAAGATCGAGGGAAAGTCCTGGATTTTAGTGCTCGATATCATGGAAAAATCAGCTGGAAATCTTTGGAAATCACCGAAACATGGGCACGGTTTTATGACCGTCTGTCACTTCTTTCCGAATCTCATTGTTATCATATGAAATCAAAGGTAATTGGTTCTTAATGAAGGAAATCCTGTTTACCGATTTACGAGTGAATATCCTCCTCGGATAAGAATCTTGCAATTAGTGGGCCTTGGATTATCGAGGAACAAAGGAAACAGATCCTGAACCCCGATCGCCTTTCCAAGGTCCGACGTGGAGTAAGGAGAAAGCGAGCCTACGTGATTTGGGCCCGGCCTCGGGCCTTAAGGCCCTTCTCCGTTCGCGTGGAATTTTTTCGGGACCGAGGCCCTTGTATTATGTCGTTCAAGAAATCAGACGGTGGAAATTTTTCAGAATGGATTTCTATAAGTAGCGAGTACGGGGGCGAGCGATCGGTACCCTCGAGCCTAGGGGGTTGGCCATCTAAAAGGGTGTTATCTAGCGACTCGATGGAAAGGTACTAGGAGCGTATTTACATGTCCATGGTGGGTGGTTAATCGAGGTTCTTCATATTTTTTATCACTCCCTTTCCGATCCGTTTCCGAGCGGAAAACTCACCCCAACAGAGCTGACTCCTCGGCGGTGGCAGCGGTCGGCATCTTGTTTCTGTCCCTAAAACAAAATGCCGGGAAATAATGACGCACCACCGGTCCTTCCGGTTCGGCAACTAGGCCACGGTCGCCAGGAACCCATTTGAACCTCCACCGATTGCTCTAAGGAAGCCTCGAAGCTTTTTTAGCCACCCTTCGTGGCCGCGCAGAACCACTGAACAAATCCTTGCACCCACTTCGAGACTCCTTCTCGTGAAGAAGCTAAGCTCGAAGGACGTGCGGAAACTCGGAAAACGACCGGTCTGTGTGCGAAAATCATGCAAAGCGTGCGTAAGCGTGCATAAGCGTCCAGAAGTGTACAGAAGCGTGCAGAGGGCGTGCACCCTTGTTCCTGTCGCATGCGGCTTACCTCGTGGCCCGTTTAACCTAGGCCGATCGATAGTCGCGCCCCAGGGTGGTCCTAACGTCCGTACTTAACCTAACTTCGAATATTTTGCGGAGTCTCAGGAAAGATCGATCGGCCGAGAGTCGGTCTCGAGCAACGACCGAGACCGGGCGACGCCATCGCCGAGGCGGCCCGGGGTCGCCCTCCACCTCGCGTAATGCATTTCCACCCCCGGAAAGTGCAGCGCGGTGTCCGCGATGTGCCGTAACTCACAATTCTCTCTCTCTCCATTTACTTTTTTTTCCATTCCCCACCACCATAGTAAGATTTGCCATTTTTCAGGACACCTCGGAAGGGACCAGAGCCAGGAGGAGGCAGAAAGAGCAGAGGGGACGACGCCGGAGGCTGTCCTACCTTGAGACGATCGAGACGCTCTCTCTTCGGTCATCGATCAGAGGGTCCTTCTTCCGGAGCTCCACCTTCGGGGCGGCGAAGCTGAAGGCCTTCTTCACGCTCTCCAGGACGCTCTGCCCCGTGGTCTGGGTCTGGTCGACGATGGTCGTGCTTTTGTAGACGTCTTCGCCCAGGTCGCCGAGCGACCTGTACGAAGCCCCGATACCTGACGGCATGGCGGGGCCGCGCCCTATTCCTGCACCCTGGAGGCCCCTGCGCCTGGTCCCGAGTCTTCTTCCTCGACCTGGACCTCCTCGTCCTCTGGGGGGTGGTCTCGCGTAAGGACGCCCTCGGTGCGCAAATCGCGTGCCAGTGCCGAAAGCTCGTACGCCGATGCTCGCTTCTCCCGAGCGAACGTCAAATGAGGGGCCAATGTCAATCGGGCCGCGACGACGCGAGGCGTCGCGACGTAGGGAGAGAGAAGGAGACGAAAATCCGGAGGTTGCACCCCTTCAGGGTCTCGGTCGGAGCGACGGGCTCGTCCCTCCTCGCGAGAAATACTCCCCGGCGCCGAGATCGGCGCCGTCCGCTGCGTTTCCTCCGCAAGGGGACCAGTGGCCGCGAGCCAAGGTCTGGATGCACCGAACGCCTCGAGAAGTGCAACCTGTTACGAGTCTCTCACGAGGATGACCCTTCATCGACGAGCGAGGTAGCCCGACTTCCGGACCTCCTCTCTATACACACAGGATCATATACTATGTACTCGTACATAGCTCTCCTTTATTCGTCTCCATTTCTTTCCCAATCGCCGACACCTCACGGCGCCGCGGGGGGTGCATACACGTACATGTACCTACGTCAGAGAGCGCCGCGACATGCACGCCTCTCTGTCGGGGCCTTCTTAAATAATGCGTCTTAATGGTACATCCAGAATGCATGCGCGGCTACATGCCAATTACATAAGTAATACGTGTAGGTGTGCGCGGTGCTAGCGACGCCGCCGAGGTGCGCAATTAGCGCGAGACGCTATCCTTTTGTCGCCGCTCCTTGAGGCCCGAGACTGTTTCTCAGAGCGAGGATTATCGTCTTTTTCGATCCTACGAACCGTGCAATTTGCATTTAGAGGGAGGTTGGTAGACGGGAGCGATGCGTTATCACAGGTGGATCCTGATTAGACGCGTCGTCGGCGGAGTTCACGCGGTCAGAGGGCATAGGGCCTCCTGGTGGCATATGTAGGGTGTACGCGAGATCGATAGCTCGTGGGTGGTGGTCGATAGATACGCGGAAAACCCGCCGATTCCTACGTAAGGCTGGGCGGGGGCGCGCGCCCCAATTTTCCCAGCTGTTTTCCCCTTTCCGGGCTTCTCGCCGCCGTGACGTCATCGGTGACCCGAGCCCGAGGTTCCCCGAATGTTCGCCAAAGTTCGCCGAGTCGATCGGATTGACATAGTTGGTTCTCCGACCGTCAGCTGGATTCCAATTGCGCCGACGTTTCGTTTCGACCTCCAGTCCTCGTTACCAGGGTCTCCGATGGTCACCGATCGAGCGATCGCGATTGCGGTTATCAATTCCGATTTATCTGTCTTCCGACCCCGAGATGGACGCGACCAATCGATTCAAGTTCGAATCCATTGAGGATCTTAATTAATAGGGGAATTTAGTGGATTGGCGCGGCGATCGCGATCAGCTGTTGCCAACCAGCTGCTCGTCCACCAAGAGGGAACCCGGAGCCCAAGGCCTCGCGTTTCCCCCGCGGCGGCGATTTCTCCCGCGCGGCCTCCCTTTGATTGATAAGAAATATAAGAAGAAGGAAACCGGCCCATCGAGCGGCGCTCTCGAATTCGAGAAATCAGCCCCGTTCTTTACCCCGGCCCGGGGAACACATCCGAGTATTTGCCCTCGCGACGGGGGTTATTGATTTTCCGCGTAAACGGAATCGGGGTTAACCAGAGCCCGTCGGCGAGAAATGGCATTACTCGGACCCGTAGTCCAACCGGAAGTACGCTGCAATGTAAAGCAACGACGGAAATGATAAACCTCACCCTCAAAAAAAAAAAAAAAGATAATTAAAAAAGAAGGACCACCCGCGCTCACCCACCTATTTACCGAAAGCCCTTCGTCTCCCCTGGAAATTCACCGCGTATCGAAATTCTATACATATTTACATGAAATATGTATTTAAACGATCCAGGGAAAACCCTTAAAAGGTCGGAGTACCCGGGTATCGACTTTTTCACGACATTCGGGAGAAGTGCATCGCTCCGATCTTCCACGATGATAGCGCGCACCTGTCCGCGCGAACGGACGCCCAGGTGGCGCCTATGGGTTTTTTCGCCCATTTTTTTGGATAACAATTGAAGCGGCTTTTTGGGGGGGAATGGGAAGAAAAGCGTGGAAAAAGCTCGACTCGCTCGACCGTCTCGTCGCGCGCCTCGACGGCGTCGCCTCGCGTCGCGCTACTCGCTAGTCGGGATCGATCGCGACGCTTTTAGAGTTGGACTTACCTTGGTCCAGTTGGCGAGGGCCGAGCCGCCGAAGGGGAGTATCACAGCTGATAGCTGGTAGCTGGGTGCTGGGGCGTTCGCTCGCGGTAGCGCCTCTAGGTTAACACCGTGTCGGACACCCTTGGAGTGTGCTGTCGCTGCGACGACCGAGTCGCAGGCGCCTTAGGTTACTATTGGTCGGGAGGCCTCGCTGGTCAATGGGAGCCGAGTGCGCACGGTCCTGCGCAGACCGCGCCGGAAAGAACCAGTTACGGCCGGACCGCCTGCGAGGACATCTGGAGGCAGCTGGCCCGATTTCGAGGCTCTTCCCGCCGCCCTCAGGCCAGCTGGATGGATAAAAGCGCGCCGACCGGCTGTCGAGGGACCAGCTGACGACCTCTGCTGGGAAGGGCCTGAAGGAGACGGTCCAGATGGATGGCTCGGTCGGTACGGCAGAGACCATGGGTAAGGGAGTTGGATGCTTGAGGATAGGGGGAAGAGTTTGGGTGGTGAAGGGAGATGGACTGATTTTAGGAGAGGGTGGAGCTGGACCAGTTGGATGGTCCGGATGAATTGGACGATCGCGGGGGAGACTTGCAGGCAAGACGGACTCGCTTCGCAGCGTGGGTACCAACTGCCGAGTTATGGAGGAAGGATAGGCGGGTATGATAAGAGACAATTGATGCGTGGATACCGGAAAGAACCAGTTTCGGCTGGAACGGTATCGACTACATCTACGTAGATGCGAATCGTTCTCAGGTTGGGTAAAGCAGAGTTCCCGGAAGGAACGAATACCAGCTGCTGGCCTCTGGTGGAGAGGGTGGACACGCTGGGTCGATGGTGAGCTCTATCGGTACGAAGAGGACTCTGTAGTCGGATGTCGCTCGAGGAGGGTTACCGTTGTCGGGAAACTAGACCAGCGGTGGGATACACTCCGTGCTCGTGATAACGCACTCGGGGGATCCGGGGGAAATGGCGAAAAATTGAAAAACTTCCGGTATCGGTTACGAAATCATTTCTTCCCGCTTCAAACGTTTTTTTATGACATTTGGATCAACGCCAAACACGCATTTATACTCATTGTTTTGATAATAGGCTAGAGATGTACTCGTGAATGGTGCACTTGGCGCGAAACTCTACCACGTGGATGGCCGATTCGCAGTTATCACCGCCAAGGCTGTGTTTCTCGATTTTCCCCTGGGAAAGCATTGTTCAACTCTCCCGGAATAATCCCCTAGGATGACGCGGGCGAAGCTAGTTTTATTTACGCCCTGTTAAAAGGGGGTTAATAGAGGCCGAGAGACGCGTCCCGCGCCATTATTCAAGGAGACGGCAGCCGGCGCGTTTCCCCCCCGCGGGAGGAAACGAAAGAAGCTTGCGGATAATCCGCGAATGGGATCCGACGTTTCCCTTTCCCGAACCGCGTCTTGGCACGGAACTCCGTGGGGATTCCTCGAAATTCCCATTTTCCGCGTTTTCCACATTTCCCGGCCCGGTCGCACGCACCGCCCTCGACCCGCGGCTCCTTTAATCCCGCGGAGTCCTTCCTAAATCACCAGGACCTCCGGTTCTTCTTCATCGCGGGAATTTTCGGGCCATCGCCAAAGGCGTCCGAAATATGCTTGCGGAATTTCATTTCCGCCCTGGCGGAGGAGGGCGAACAGCGATTCCGCCGCGGCCGGGTAAACACCTCTCCCCAGCCGAGGCCGCAATGTAAATTCATCCTGATTAACTTGCCGCGGTTTTTTCTTCCGTTAATTTTCCGCCCTCGATGCGCCCCGGGAAGTTCCGCCCGGAATTCGTTTCGGGGAATTCTTAACTACTCTCCGTCCGCCCCGGGAAAATTCAGTTTTCGAGCAAACAACTCATTGTTTTCCGAAGACTTCGCCTTTCACGGGAAGAAGCAACCCGCTGAAATGTTTCCCTTATTAATTAATAATCAATAAGAATCTGAAAATGGATGTTGCGCGCCATAATTAGGCTGACCGGGTATTCTAATTCGAGCACAAGTACCGGGTAATTTCGGGGGGTTTGAAAAGGACGCGTTGATCGATCTCGCGAGGGGAAGCTCGAGGGAAAGCGAGGGAAAGCTTCTTTATTTCCCGCCCCGGGCGAGGAAAGAAAAAAAGCAAGCCAGGAGCTTTCTTCGGCCCTTCCGGGGGCCGGCTCTCGAGTATCCACTCCGCTCTTTGAGACGCGATGTATTCCCGGGAATATTCATCATAAAAATGTGTATTTACGTGTACTTCCGCCGCCGCGTCCGGGAAAATATTGTTCCGGGCGTGCGTGCCCCTACCTTACCCCCCTAAAGCTCCGTTTCTCGCCCTCGGAAAACCTCCCTCGGGTTATCCCCCGCGCGCGACTGCGGGAAACGGTCGTAGGTGTTTTACAGTCTCGTAACTCGGGCATATCCCTTTGAGAGAAACGGCCGCCCCCGGCCGCCCTTAAGAAAGAGTTGTCAGGGGGTGGCATTTAGTCTGTCTCGCGCATGACAGATGGCCCCTGCCGTTTCCAGGGGAAAACGGCCACAGGTTCTCGCGAGCCTTCGTACGGCCTTATCCGCGAGGAAAAATGGGGATGCGATGCAGAAAAAAAGAAAGAGAACGGAAGAAAAAGTACAGGTCTAACGAGATTTAAAGGGACGCGAGGTGGCGCCTCCTCCAGGTGCCTCTTCCGGGGTCCGCAGGGGGTATTTCGTCGCCCCCGGAATTCCCTCGAAGGAGGGGAAACCGAGCTCGCGAACTCGCACATGGAAATGCGGCCCTGGAGACGCGGGACAAATTTTAATTCACCGTCTCCTAGGACCAGCCCTTCGGGGTGGAGCGAAGTCGGTCCCGGGGGCTTCGCTTAGCGCGGACGCGCGGATGCGGCCCGCCGCGTCCGGCCGCGGCCGCAACCGCGTCCGCACCGGTAAAGAGCACCGTGAAACCACTCAAAATGGTAATGCCGGAAAGTTCAAAGACTCCGCCCGGCTGTTTGCGGCCGAGAAAACTCGGCGTCCTCCCCGGCCACCGGGAGGGCGCGACTCGCCAAGACGCCGACCTTCGGACTTAATTAGCCGCCGTGCGGAAAAAAAAAAAAAAGAAAGGAAAAGAAGGTAGGACGCGGCCCGAAGAATCCTTTGGAAATTTCTCAAAGCGCGGAAAAAAGGGCCGACGTGAGGCGCGTACCTTTCCTTGCGTTACCTTGCCACCCCTTCGATATCGGATTCGCGAGTCCCCGGCGACGATAAAACGGGATAAGAAAGAATAAGGAAGACGTTAGGGAAAAGGAAAAAAAGGGATGCAAAAGAGGATCACGAGGCGGAATTCTCGCGGGGTCGCGGCCCCTTCCGCGGGGAAGAGAGGCTCACGTAATCGTCATTCGTATTCTCGCGCGGGCGTCGGGATAAATATTAGATCCGCGAGGACACGTATACGCCGGGTACGAGACAGTGGAACAAATTGTGTATTAATATTAAATTCCCGGAACCCCGGGCGGGGCTCCTTCGACTCGCTACCCGGGAAATCAGCCGAATTTTCCTCGAGGGGATCTCACGAGGTCCTACTGGTCCGAGCCGGACCCAACGACGTCCGAGCGGACGGGACTCTCCTCGGCAATGAGGTACTACGGTCTTCCGATAAATTTTCCCCCTCGAATTACTCCCACAGGCACCCCCTGTGCCCTGTAAACTCCCTTGGCGGTGCTTCTGTGAGGAGGAAATATGAATCGAACGTCGATTAAACGGACTTCTGAATGCTTTCCGGCCCTCGCCGACCTTCAGGGAGTCCAGGGATTGATGGCGTCCTCGATCAGCTGATCGCTGGATGGACCACGTGGCCGCGTTTTGACGTTTCGACCGAGTCACGTGGCCGTCGAGAGTAGACATCGTTCTTTAACGCTGTGGGATATTGTGTTATGCTGCGTAATGTTGCGTAACGTTGTATAACGTTACGTAACGTTCTGTAACGTTGTGTGGAAGTTGTTAGTCCATGGCTACCGAGAGTTGCGGGAATTCTTTGCATTCCAGGGATATTCCCAGTTGCAGGAGTAGTATCGAACGAGCCGAGGAGCCGCCCGGTAACTCAATCCTTCGGACAGGCTCGGACGATCCGCGGCGGCGTTTAAATCATTCGCGCTCGCATAAATAATTCATCGTACGGTTCGAACGAGACTCGAGCCCCCGAGAGGAGGAGGGCGAGGGCGCGCCAAGATGGCGGGCCGCGCGGAGGGTGGCGACCGCGGCCGCCCAAATCCTTCCGGCAAACTTCGGAATTTGTACGCACAATTATGGAAATGCGGCGAATTTGATATGAGCCTTAGGTTTCGCCCCTTGGCGTGCGCGGAAAGCTCCTGAGCTCGGCTCAGGAGGGAGTCCACACCCCCGGAAGTTACCCCCTGCAAATGAGGCTCACTTGTTTCTCCAAACAAATTTGTTATTTCTGAAAGGAAGAAAAATAATGTCGGGGGATCGTTTCGATTCCGGGGCCTGTTAAGACGGAAGGTGGCTCGAGGGGGTGGTCAAGTTAGTCGGGATAACGCGGGGAATAATTGCAGCCCTCCTATCGGGGGGAGGAAGGCACCCTTCCGGTCCATCGGAAGAGAGGCTTTCTCTAGGGCGCATCGCCTCCCCAGCGAGATGCATCCCCGGGATAGAGCGTTCCCTTCGGAAATTTATGGCCAGAGGCGAGTAACTCGGCGGATGCTTTCATCAAAACGCCAATAAATTTTACAACGGTGCCCGGGGGGTGGGGGGCATCGAAGGGTGCTCCGCGAAGCCTATACTTAAAACTCGGCGACCTTACTTCCGATTTAAGGCCTCGTAACTTCCCGGAGAAAAATTCCACCGTCCCCGGGGGGACGGATAAACCGGCTGATAAAGCGAAATTAAATAACTTCCAGTTCCCTCTTCCGTCTAATCGACCCCCCCTCTGTACCAATCTCCATCCCCTTTCGGCTAGAAATTTAAAGCGGAGCAATTAATCCTGCATTGTTCCCGAAAATAGGGAGCTTTTCGTATAATCGGCGATAGGGTATGGCGGCCCTCGGGGATGATAATTAAGGATCTCGGCAGAATAATCCCGGGGGTTGTAAATAATTCCTTAGGGAACGAATTATTCGGCTCCGATCGAGCAGTTCCAGCCGAAAGGGGCGAGGGGCTGTTTGTGTTCGCGAAACGAATTCTCACGCGCATCGGAGAAAAGCCGATACACCTTCGGGGTGCATTCGGTCCAGGAATGGAGTCTGCCTCATCGCCGAAGGAGGATCGGTCGCATCGATCAGATCCTGCCGGATCGTCGTTAAACATTTACCGCGGACCAAATCCACGGGACCACGAAGAGAGAGCGGCTGTGTGAACCTGGAATA